TCAATTTTAGAAAAGTATCTTGCTCCCTATAACTGATCGAAAAGGTCATCAATTCGTGGTAATGGATAATTATTTTTTGTAGTTACCTTGTTAAGCTCACGGTAATCTATACACATCCGGAAAGTTCCGTATTTCTTCTTAACGAACAGCACTGGAGCACCCCAACGAGATGTGCTTGGCCGGATAAAACCCTTGTCCAATAATTCCTGCAATTGGTTCATCATTTCTTTCATTTATGCGGGTGCGAGACGGTACGGTGTCTTCACTATCGGAGCTAGACCTGGTATCAAGTCTATATGAACTTCTACTTGACGATCGGATGGCAATCCAGACAGATCGTCCAGATATTCAAAAACAATCGGAACGTCCTTCACCGTATTCTTCAATTCCTTCGTCGCATTCATAACATAGGCTATAAAAGTTGAGCAACCCTTGATTAGATAACGACGAGCTTTTAACATAGAGATTACCTTTATGTCGATCACGCACTGCTCCCCGTAAATGTATAGGTAATTCCCCTCACTAATTGGTATCCGAATAATCCGTCGTGAACATATGATGTCAGCTTGATTCTTTGCCAAACAATCCATACCAATAACGACATCGAATACACGTACATCAGTTGGAATGAGACCGATAAGAAATTCATAGTCATCTAGAAGCAACGCACACCCTCTAAATACTTTATCAGCAACTAATGGCACTCTGCTCGCAGAGTCAACAGTGAAAGGATTTTCAAGCATAGTAGGCACAAATTCAAGAAAACAAACATAATCATTTGACCCAAAGGAAATTGTTGCACCGGAATCAAATAAAATACGAGAAGACCAAGAATTAACCAGAGATATACCCGAACAACGTCAGGATCGTTCATGGCTTCCTCCGCAGTAATTTGAAATGCCCTGGCACGAGGTTTCGGTACCTCCTTCTTTTTGGTCGAAGCCCCCGCTGCGTGTATCGGTCGTTGCCTCGGTTGCTGTACCGACCCCTTACTTTCCTTCGGTCTATTCTTTGGACATTCTTGCATACGATGACCCAACACACCACTATTATAACATGTCTTTTCCTTTTGAGGGCACTGAGTTCGTATGTGCCCAACTTCACCACAACAGAAGCATCGTACATAAGTTTGATCACCACCACATCGTCCCTGGTAATTCTTGCCGCATCGATTGAGTTCTGTGGTGTATTCGAAAGCTTGTAATGTAGTACGGGGTGTGTTCTGCGATTGAGCTAGTCACGGCGTGAAGAATCGAGACGATTTAGATGTTGGGGACGAGAATGCTCTCTCAAATCTCGGTCGTTTCTCTGGCACATCAGAATCATCAGGGAGACTCAGATCATGCTCCCGTTTCCTTGCATACTCAACTGTTTTGGCAAATAAAGGTATGTCGTGATTAGTTACAAAATCACAAATATTCCGTCAAAAACTGCTAACGAAATGATTAGTCTTGTCTTTCTCACTTGGTACAAATTGCTGGGCAAACTGAAGCTTCCGATTGAACTCTGTATCGTATTCAATTACCGACATAGATCCCTGTTTGAGCTCTAGGAATTCCTTCTCAAGCTTCTATTTCAGATCATTCGGACAATGTTGTTCGAAGAACAACACTTGAAATTCTTCCCACGTCATTCCACCAAGTGAGTGCACGATCGGTAACTGTCGCTATTGCATAACGTACTTTATTCTTCTGCACATAAACAATCCTAAATAACTTTTCAGTGTTTTTGACCCATTGCATCGCAAGTACTAGGTTCGTCTGTCCCGAGAACTCTGCTTCTAAATGTTTTAAAAGAAGTCCGATCCGAATTTGGTTTGGGTACGTCATCATTGCTCGGCTTCGGTCCTTGGACAACCAGATTCTAAGCATTAACTGGATTTTGCACTTCATATAACTTTCTTTCAAACTCTATTCTTTGTTCTCGTAGAGCAGCCCGTGTTTGATCATTCATTAGTTTCAATAACTTCTCAGCACGAGGTGATAATTGAGCTTCATCGTCATTGCCAATATTTTCTTGAACATTCCCTTCGGGATTGGGGTTGTCATTTCCAATGTTTTGAGTAACCGGTGTGTTGCTAATCTTGTTCAGACATTGTACTGAAATTATAATACATACAAAAGTCAAATAATATTCTACCTCTGGACCCCAACCAATCCTAAATCTCTTCTATTGGTCTATATCCCATATAATCATAACCTAGTCACTATCCAATGTCAGTGCCTAAGTTTGAGTCCGGATATCATTACTGATATCCAGATCACTCAAACTGCAGCTCTGATACCATATCTGTAACACCTCGGTTAAGAAACCTCAAGCTACCAATTTCAAAATCTCCAATTAAAAAACATTGACTAACCTCAAAATACTCGATATTTAGTTTCTAGAAAACTTCGAAATCCCCGTTCTATTTTAGTGATAAATACCAACCAAAACACAATTCCAAACCAGACATAACAAATTTATACTTTCAACCCGAATTAAGTAGCAAAATAAACGGGACATACATATAACCTGGAACAAAACTAATTATGAACTACAATGACTACATCTATAAGTAACGGTAATAAACTACTATATACCAAAAGTAAGTTCGTAGTCTTCAAAGTCCCCCGATAAACCTCCAAGTCAAACAACGGGTTCTTTCGTAAAAGGTAAGCAAACACTTAGTGAGTTAGATAGTTAAGTATTACATATCAATATTGCACATGTGTATAAACATACGTGGTAAACTCTTATCGATAAAAGAGTTCAAGACATCAACTGAATGCAAACCGAGACTTACAAGAAACCGAGTGAACAAATACGTACCGGATGCTAAGATCATAGAATACCATATTCAAGCCACTGTAAGATACCATACTATTGATGCTCAATACAACAAGAAAACAAGATCAATAACCAAAAATATATCAACAACGTTAAAATACCAATAAATATCAAGAACCAAATAATCGAATAGATAAACATAATGAGGACATATCACCCCGTCCTTCACCTTCCCCGCTCATGCCAAAGTTCGAGTCAGACTCATACATCACGAGAAACCTCTCACTGCCCACTTTCCTCTATCGGGTGTGTGCCAAGGTTCCCTACTCATTGCTCTTCCTCCTTTTTGAGCAATGAGTATCCACAACAGCAGAAAGTCTCATCCGTCCAACCCAGGATCTTGACCTCGCCATCAACTTCTGGCGTGCCACACGAAGTGGTACCCATACTATGGCGTACAATCCAAGGAACAAAACAACGAGTCCGGATCCGGAAAATAAACCGATGTAACGAGATCATAATAAGGAATAGACTCAAGGGACAGAATCAAAGCCAAATCAAGACCATGTTACTCAATTCAAGACCAAAAACATTCATATATATATATATATATATATTATAACAATATGTAACAACTAACTATATACCTCACCGAGCAACCGTACAATATAGAAAAGCTCTAAAATGAGCTCACAAAACAGTCCAAGTTATCACACCTAGAATGCTTCCAAAGCCTCAAAATATGTCTTAATTACCCCCTGGAGCATACATTCAAAATCTCATAGGTAACCAATATAAGAAACTCAAGTTATATACATTTCCTATTTAGGCACTTTACATTGATTCTCATGTACAGCTGCTATTTGCAGATCTATTTTAAACTCAAATTCATGTCTTGATCATAAAATAAGAAATAAACTAAACTCAATTATATAACCAATGCAATTGGCCTCACCACATTTGGGTTTTTTTTATGATTTTATACAATTTTTTAACGTCTGCATATATTCAGTGCATTCTTAAGTCGAAATTTCTCATTTCATACATTTTTCGTACCATTTCAATTCCAAATTCTTCCAAAATCTGAGTTTCATTTTAATATAACACATTTGACACAAACAACCAGGATCCAATATTAATTTCATTATTTATATCATCTCCCCAATTTTTGACTTAACCAAGTCAAAGTTTATATGATGAACTTGCTTATTTCTTGCTTATATCTTGATAATCTTTTGAACCTAATGATCATTTCATGTCATAAATACTAAAACAAACTCATTTTATACACTTAAGATCAAACCCATATGAAACCCTAACTCTTTCTTAACATGCGATTCATATTTCAAGAATGTCAACCATGAACAAGTGCAGAGAGGGATTCTATCTTTAGTTGATGATCAAATCCTTTAAAGATCTTGTAATTTCTCTTGATTTGAGTTCGAATTAAGCCTATGTGTGTGTAAATCGCACCTTTAGTGTGTGTGTATAAGTTTTGGACTCATAATGACAGAAAATGGGGCCAAAATTTGTGTTTTCTATACTAAATCCCAAGTTGGGTCGGGTTGACCCAGTTGGGTATGACTATCAACACTTAAAAAATTCATAACTTTTCGTTCGGACCTCCGTTTTCGATGAGGTTTTCGCCTACACGTTCATAAAATGATAATCTATAACCTTCAACAGAAATATTCCAGAGAAGATCTCCCCAAAAATCAGTTTTACGTATCCATTTAACATGATAATTTTCAGATCATCTCATATACTTCTAAGAAGTATAACTCTAAAATTTCCAACTCAAACTCCCACTAAAGCATAGGTTCACTTATATGGCCACTACTAGAATACTAAGTAAAATTTTCTACTTTGACATTTAACATGCTTCACATCTTATCGCATAATATCCTCTTAACATAATAATTAAACATACTTAGCAAATAATTTGGGATATTAGAAATGGGATGTTACAATTATTCAAATTAAATATCCAACAACTTAATTATTCAAAATAAGAAAGTTCAATCGTTTATTCATTAAAAAAAAGAGTCGATTGGATTTTTCTGAACTTTTTCCTTTTAACTTCGTTTAACATGTTAATCTCCTTGACTATTTTTCAAAATTATAGAAAAATAGGATCCGAATTGAATCATTTTTACATAAATGAGTTAAAATCGTAGTATCATAAATGAGTGAAACTTGACAAAACAAAAATCGAAGACTATACCATAATAAGGCTCGAACTAAAAAATAATAAATTTTACTGAAATACCTACGGAGTGTAAATGTTCTACGCTAGTTTTTTCCTTCTTCCTATATTTGTTCTTTAAAGAGAATAAAACAATTTTTGACGAACGATATAGTAATGCTACTAGATGGACGTAACACCTTCTGGTAGAGGATAACCATTAGGATCCGGCGAAAGAAACCTGCGGCACGCATGTAATACTGCCGAGTGAAATCCATTTGCATTGTCTAGAAACACAAAATGACCAGCCTGCATGCAATCATGTAATTCAAACCTCCATTAATATACCTAAACCGTAAACCCTAAACCATAAACCCAGAACTGCAAAATACCTTTGGGACTCTTATGATTTCACATGGGACAGTCATGTCCTTCCGTGCTCCTTCTGCTCCATGGTAATCCATCCAATCTTGGAACCCATATATAAAGGTCGTTGGCACTTTCCATTCCGAAGCCCTGCAAGAAAAAGAAGGAAGGATCAGATGGATTGAAATGACAGACTTTTCGATATGCAGAGACCTAATGATGATATCGATGTTTTTGAGCTACTATTGTATGGCAGGGAGGAAGCTCAAATGAGAAGTAAATATTTTGAAAACCTACGAACCAACTACTTATGAATTATTTATTATGAATGTCGTGATTGATTTTCTTGATGGATATAGTGAATAATGAAAATGCATGACACTAAATAGTTGGTTATTAAGTTCTCAAAATATTTACGGTTCTCATTTGCACCTGTCCATTTATTGCAGTATATGAATATATGAAGAGATCATACATCAAAAAGTGAAAGCATGTATTGTCAAACTAGTACAAGTTGGCACTATCGACAATACCAAGAAACATATCCAATTAAATGTGCAATTTTCATTACGATAAACCCATTCATTATATCAAACAACAAACAAGAAAAGCACTTTTTAGTATATGAAGTGTACCATTTTGTTAACGAGAATGTGGTAAAAGACAACTTATCGCACCTTTGTAATAGAGGACTTCGAGCAAATGCCCCAAATGAAAAAATATACTTCAAGCATAGCTCTCCACTTCCCTTGGCCGCCAAAGTGTGGTATATGTAATCTTCACAGGAATTATAAATTATTAGAAATTTTAAATTGTGAAAATTCGACACTAATATGGTCGACTCTAACTACCTGTAAGTAACCTGGACTCTTCCTCCGTCAACACATCGCCTGTTGAATATTCACCAAATCTTGCACTTGTATATCTTCGGACCAAATTTGGACCCCAGGGACCTAATCCTCTGCATCACAGGATTCAACATATTCACATGTGATTAAAGCTACATAACTTGATGGCCTATCATTAAAAAGAGTACATAGTTGATGTTTTTATGCTCAAGGGCCAAGTAAGATAACATCATAGAAACAGGTTCTCTACCCTCTGGGGTACAGGCAAAGGCTTCATACATCCTACCCATACCCTACCTATGCGTGTGATATACCGGTTATGGGGAAAATATCCAAAATTTATTCATGTAGAATTTTTGCTCGATAGGAAAACGTATAGACCCTATGCACCTACAACTATCAGCACCATAACTAATTGTGGTTCAGTACTTACAATCCCTTTTATTTTCCACTTGAGACCAAATACACCAATTAATTAACAATGCTACACAGTACACACTCCAATGATCCAACATGCATTATAAAATTTAACCTGACATAGCTTGTTTTCCTGGTCTATGTCTTGCATAATAAAAAACGGGTACCCAAGTCAGTTGTCATGGAAATAGATCAACAGATTTACAGTTGCATTCACATATGTATATAGGATCATAGTTGTCAAAATGTTATCAATATCTTCTTACCTTACAATATGCATCATGTATCTTAAAGATCAGCTCTATAGCAATTCATGTTAGATGTTACATTTAATTTGTACATATATTACTCTATACTGCATCATGTGGATCTTATGATTTGATAAGAATTTTCTTGGAAGTAGAAAGCCTAAGAAGAAAATAAATAACGACAAGCAATGAAGACCATATTACCTGAGGACCTTCATAGGAGTAAAATTAGACTCCCATAAATGGTTCATAACAGCTCCTTTCCATGTTGCTCGGAATTTGGTAAGCCACTCTGATTTATGTTCGGTTTCTGAGGTAAACCCAGCAGGTCCCACCAAAATCAGATGTTGTACATGCTCAGGATGCTTCAATGTTAATGAGTGGGAGAGCATTAGATTATTATTCCAGAGCATTTAGCCTTGAGGCGAGAAAGTTGTTCTGCTAACTTGAAAATCATCATCAGGAAACTTACCTTCAAGGCATATTTAGCTGCAACATATCCTCCAAAAGAATGCCCAAGCAGAACAAACTTTTCAAGGTTTTTTGCTTTGCGCCATTCCTCAAGGGAATCAATGAACCAAGCCTCGGTTTCTGCATTATGAGGGATACAGTCATTAGATATATGTGGTCAGATTCAGAGTGTTTCTTTAAAATTCCATACCACACAAGTTGGAGAATACGAAAAGAGGTTATCAGCACAATATAGATAAATCAATATAGTTACAGATGTTCAAGAAAACATGAAGGCAATCCACTCCAACTATTTGATGGACAAAATTATTCCGAACTCTAAAAACACCTGACAGTTCATAAGGGTAATCTTTGATCCTGACCAATATATTTCATCGAGGAAGATTACTTTGTAGCAATACCATAAGTTGCTATGTCACCTCATAGCCATGAAAAAATGAGGCCTTCAGAAACAGCAGAAGCAATTTCTCATGCAGGTAGAATGCAAGACATTACAGAAAATTGGCCAGGGATTTCTGTAAGAGATAGTGTGCAGAAATATATGCCTTTTGTCCTACAGTAAGTGTCAATTATGTGACTGATGCAAATATTAGACATCAACATATAGAGCTTCAACCAAAAGAAGATGCCCCAGCAAGGGAAAAATAAGAGTGGAAAGACATCATAATGATTCTTTTAAAAAAGATGTTATATTTGTAGTATAATACATTAACATAACAGTAATGTTGGAGAAGTATGCTTGACAACTATCCAATTAAGAAAATAAAATCAAACTAAACGGCACTAGTAAATTCAACCTAGAGGTAGGCTATCTAATTCAGAAAGGCAATATTAAATTTTGAACAGCATCAAAGTATAATAGGATTTGCTTACTATCTTTCCATAGTTCCATTTGTAGTCCTCGTCAATTACCCTACGCCCCATGAATTATAGCTAACTTTTGAATTTAAAATTTTTCTTGACCAAAAGAATGTAGTAATCACGCTAACTGTCCAATAGGAGTATCAGATTGACTATTTCAGTTGTGATGCACATATTGTAGGAAGCGAAGGCAAACTAGTGCACCAACTACAAGCTAAAAAAACTGACCTTCAGTACTTTTGCAAGTGAAGTCAGGCCTGCTTGATCCTCCCCAACTGCCCAGCGAAAAAAAGAAGAATAACCCAGGAATTCAGTTTAAATGGAAGACGTTAAACAATCACTGTAGCATTGAGAAAACAGATCTATTAAAAGTTCGCTTGACAAATGTATGCATGTGTTTAACCAAATTCAGTGTTTTACACTTCTGTACCAGCATTATCCAAGCTTGGCACCAATGTTGTTCTGAAACGGCATAATATAATAGACTATAGGACAACAGACGGCAAGAAAATTACACCAGCTACGAGACAGCAATCGACAACTCATGTCACTCTATGTTTAGAAATTAGGAAAAGTCTACAATAACTTTCCAAGGGAAACTAGAGCCTAAGAGCATTTTGTTAACCAGTAAACTGAAAGAAAAAGATAACCACCTGTACCAGTGAGATATATGAAAATCATAATCACCAAAAACTTTGCTGATTCCAATGAGCTTTAGAAGTTGCTCAATAAGATGAAGTATCCACTACTACATAAGAAGCTTCTCTTCCACAAGGGACAAGAGAGATGTCGTTGTATCTTATGCATCAAAGGCCTTAGAAGATGTTACCGGTCAATGAAAATCATGTGCTGAATATATTCTAGTCACCCAAGAAGCACAATGTTTTAACATGCCTCTTAATGAAATGACGTTTAATGTGACACGATTGATGATGCCATATGACAACATAAAGAAATGAAAAAGATTGCTCTGTGACTGAATCCAGAGAATCAAAATGCCAAAGTCAGGGCAAAGAATGCAAGCACACCAATTAGTATTCCTTATTCAACATAAGATTATCATGTTTCATTTTTAGCTACAAGAAAAGGGCTGGCACATTTTGCAATTACTTGGTGTAAATATACACTTCTCTTCTCTTTCAATGTGTGTCTACTGAAGAGAGCCACAAAAGAGAGATGACCATTTCATATCTCAACTGATAAAACATCACATATTATTTTGACACCATACAAAGGAACAAATATTAAAGAATATGAGATGAAGATAGGAGAAATATAACATAATAAACTCACCCAAGTTGATCAATTGCAATCACCCTGAAATGTTTTGTAAGAGCATCAAAATTTCGAAAGAAAAATCCCTGAGCAGCTGCATATCCATGTACCATTACAAGAGTGGGTGCATCCTCTTTGCTGTCGAAGGTAACTGTGTTGATAAATCTTGATTCATTGCTGGCAGAACGAAACCACCTGACTTTAGACCCCGGTGGGCCAGAGCCAATATTAACCTTCTCTTGGGTGTATGAAGTCCTGGTATTTGATCCAAAATAATCATGAAATCAAACACAAACAAGTCTATACTAATAGCTAACATACTACTCAAGAGACCAAACCATCGTCATCCAACCAAACAGGCAACATTCTTATTCCAATTATATGACCATCAAATACGATGTAGCAGGTTTCTACTACAGCAGGGCCCCTCTTTTGGCAACTAAGAGCAGATTATGCTATAACCATTCAATAATAGTTCAAACCTTACGATGGATAGTCCATCAACTTTAAGAAAAGCAAACAACGTCATAAACGACCGCAATCGGAAATTCTAAAATAGACTGTGCATGTGCATCAAACAAGAGAATTTGGCAATCGATCAATACAAAAACAATTAGCAATATAATGCAGGTAAGGAAGGTTAAAAGCAAACAATTAGCAATATAATCCAGATACTGAAGGTGAAGGAACAAAGGCGGTTACTTGACAAGAGAGAGAAGGCGCTTTTCAGCAGCAATTATGTGATCGGTGGAGCTTGGAATCCAACGAAGAACAGAAGGCCATAAGGAGTTTTTCTTCCTTGATGATGTTGAAGTTGTGGATGCCGTTGCCGCAGATGCGTTGATTTCGTCTGCCATAATCTTCGGCGTGAAACTGGAAATTGAGCGAGTAAGGGCAAGTCTAATGCGCATAGGCTGAATTGGATGAAGCTGTGAAAGAAATGGCGGAATTTTAGAGATCGGTGTTTATATAGAAAACGGGTGGCGTAGGGCTGAGTGGGTCGCCGACAGGCCACGTCAACGATGGGTGGCGTTGATCCGAATGCCCTTTTCATTATTCAAAGCATATAAAAGGAAATGAGTTTCTTCGTTGACGTCTGCCATGACATACCTCTTGTTTTATTTCTTTTTCTTAAGGAAGAAAAATGTTTTATTAAATTTATGGTACTTAATTTTTTTTATTAACCTGGATATCTAACATGTTATGTGAGCTGACTAATTCCAAGACGACCATCTACTTTTCAGATTGCCTAGAGTCACAATATTTGAACCTCCGTGGCCACAAAGAAAATTTTTATTCCTATTTGGATTTGAACTTGAAACTCCTGTTACTTTTGACCTTTGAAGTCAAGCTTAAATCAATCAGACACCACCCTTATGGTTAATTTATGGTACTTATTAAAAAAATTTAATTCAAATATTTAGATTTGATTATTTTATCAAAAAATTCATAATAACAAGTTAAATAGTCTTATAATAACTTTGTCAAACCGGTAATAAGAAGTTTTTAAAGAAGTTAAACTCTTCTGACTTATAATAAGTTGATAAATATGACAAAATAAATAGGTTATGTTACAGAAAAATATTGTAAACTTTCAGTATGCATCAAAACGAGTCACACTTTTTGCTTAATATGATTATACAAAAAAATATTAATATGATAAAGAAATTTGCCATATGTTTTGACTTTTATCTATAGCCTGAAACTTGACCCGGTATGTCTCAGTGCAATTTAAAATATTGATATTAACTCATGTTTTTTTATTTTATTTATTTGACTCGTTTAGATAAAATATAATCAAGATTGTCCAATTTACTCGTATAAAGGTTGAAATAGTGATGCTTCCAGTTATCCCAAACCAAATATAAAAGACGAGACTTGAAATCATGTGAGACCAAGAGTTTTTCGAAAGACCCGTAAGACCAATTCTCAATCCTTGGATTAGATCTACAATCTGAACATTCATAATCACAAAATTGTCACGAGACTTCTCAATAATCACAAAATTACCACTGTACAACTTTAGACTATTAGATCATTAGCTTATAAAGTTAATCAATGAACATAAATTGGTCTTACGGATCTCACGAAAAACCCTTGGTCTCACGTAAACTCAACCCATATAGACGATCCATTGGTGAAAACGAAGCTAAATACTAATTGGGAGACAGACAAATCCTCCAATGGCCCTCAGGGAATATCCAAGGACTTGTTAGTCAAATTCGATCTACTGGAATGCCAACAGGCGTCTATTATTGAATTCACCTTCAATTTTTGGAAACTTAGAAAGTTCTGACAAAAATAAAACTTTAAACAAAATTGCCAGTTTGAAACAAGATGACATGCATGTATGTTGATGATCATGAACTCACTAGGTCTTAATAGCATGCACTTAAGGGAAAAACCGAAAAGGTTTTGAATGTCAGAATGGTCCTTCGCTTAAGAAGCCGATGCAGCATTAGATGAAAAAGAAAACCCGGATCATATGTAGAGGGGTGTTACCGTTGAGACCGAACACAGGCTTTACAATCACATCTTCAATCAATATGGAAATCTTGACTAACATAAAAAAGAGTAATTGTAGCAACAAATCTGGCAACATTATAGCATGTCCAAAAATAATTTACGTAAAAGGGATGAATTTTATTATTATAGCAGAGAGCTAGAATTTGGTCTAAGAACGACCTACTGTAGGCGCATAGTCGTCAGCCAGCCAATCCATCAGGCCAAGGTATCATCACCACCAAAGAATTGATCATGTCTGCAGCTCAACCAACAACAACAACAACCACAGAGAGGATAACAATCATATGCTTAATTAATAGCACTAAGATACACCACCTCATCTCCTTCTAGTCCGCTCTTGACTGACCAGCTCGAGAAGAAAGAATGATGCCAACAATGAGACCATAGAGAGCAAGTGCTTCGGCAAAAATCAGAATCAGGATCATCCCAACAAATAGTTTTGGTTGTTGTGCATTGGCTCTGGAAAGACAAATTATATGAATCAGCCACTAAAGAAATGAAAGATAAAAAAAGATCACAGTTATTCAAATACCAGTACACAAAATAATTCTGTTTACCAAAAAAGTATGTAATTATTTCAATTGATGATGAACAAAGATAAATTATCACCAGAAAACTTGAGAGAGAATAAACAACAAAAATAATGAAAAAGGCATAAGCTTGCAAAAGTTGCTAAATGCACATTTCTGGCTCTTCATATCGACTCCCACCATGCAATTTATCACTCGGTTGAACAAATTTCCATGCTCTTCTCTTCCCTATTCTATCCCTTTGTTGTTCATAGGTCTAGCTAAACAATGTAGCTTGGCTTCTTTTTATACACGTCCCTCTTTTAGTGTCTCCTTCAAATGCAAGACATTAAAAAGAACAAGTGGATTTTCTTCTACAGGATATATTGGGATTGCATGTAATGATCGAGTATTATTCATGAGCAGAAAGCATAAAGAACTTTCATTTTAAGATTGCCAAAATTACTGGGTGCTGATTTTTGTGAGAGGTGATTAAAACTACTTAAACACTTGATGTGATACAGTTTGTCAAATTTAGAACAAAATGGTCAAATAAAAAAATCCAATATAAACCAAAATCAGATCTTGTAACTTACAGCACAAGGGTGTTATTCTTGTGGGAGGGGATGGACTAATTTGGTGGGTTCACGGTAAACACTTAATGTTTTGTAGTTCAGAAATTCATACCATGTTTCCTTTGTTAGTATGAACACAAAACCAACAAATCAAATTGATTATAAACCATAAGACAAGCACTAATTCTTAAGCCAATGCATGCTGACCAATCTCAAGCAGATAATTTACTCATAACAAGCATAATGGCTGAAAAGGCAAAAAAAGCCCAAACATACACAACCAATCTATTCATCCTTTAGGACGTGGTTATAAATTCCTCAGACGAGATGAGATGAAATCACAAGCACAGTTTAATTCAAACACTATCAATGGAAAAAAAACAAGAACGCAAATTCTACAGCTTGACATCACATAAAACCAAACCATAACCTGATAACCCTAAGGGGCCGTTTGGTTAGCGGAATTCGAAAGAATTTGATGGAATTGGAATGATAAATTCCTTTGACCAAATTCCAATTCCTTTGTTTGGTTCATTTCTTGAAATGGATGGAATCCTTCAAATTCCAATGAATTCCACAAGTTAAGGAATTCATCATTCCTTAGCATAAT